TATTCCCCCCCCACCAACCTACCTAGGAATTTAGCCTTCCCTCCCCTCCCATACTTTGTTGTTGTTAGGTGCCATCAAATCATCTCCCACTCACAGTGACCACACGTATAGCAGAGTGAAACACTGCCTAGTCCTATGCAACCCCACGATCCTTGCTATACCTGAACCCATCACTGCAGCCACTGGTAACCAACAACAAAAAAGTTGAGTTCCATTCATAAACCTTTTCTTGACTTTTTGCAATAGTGGATTAATATATATTTGTCCTTCTGTGATTGACTTATTTCACTCAGCATAATGCCCACCTTATGTGGTGTGTTGCAGATTTTACATTATTCTTTAAGATTGCTTAGTATTTCATTGTGCATATATACCACAATTTGTTTATCCATTCCTCGGTTGATGGGCACATAGGTTGTTTCCATCTCTTTGCTATTGAGAATAGTGCTGCAGTGAACATGGGTGTACGCATATCTGTTTGTGCCCTGATTCTCACTTCTTTAGGCTATATACATCGCAATGGGATTGCTGGATCAAATGGTATTTCTATTTCCAACCTTTTAAGGAATCACTATACCGATTTCTACAATAGTTGTATTATTTTACAGTGCTATCAGCAGTTTATGAGAGTCCCAGTCTTTCCACATCCTCACCAGCATTTGTTATTTTTTGTCTTATTGAACTTTGCTATTAATGCTAGGGTGAGATGGTATATGATGGTTGTTTTGATGTGCATCTTTCAAATAACTAATGATTATGAATATTTTTTCGTGTGTTTATTGGCTGTCTGAATATTTTCTTTGGTGAAATATTTGTTCATATCTTCTGCCCATTTTTTCATTGAATTGTTTATCTTTTTGAGGTTGAGGTGTTGGAGTTTCCTATATATTTTAGAGATAAGTCCTTTGTCCGATATGCCATTGCCAAATACTTTTTTTCCCATTCTGTAAATTCTCTTTTTATTCCTTTGAAGAAGTCTTTTGTGGCACTTAAGAATTTTATTTTTAGAAGGTCCCAGTCATCTAGTTTATTGTCTGCTGTTTATGTATCTTGCAT